AAAAAAAAAAAAAAAAAAAAAAAAAAAAAAAAAAAAAAAAAAAACAATTTTGGCAGCCTCCGTGTGGTGAGCACCTGCCTGCTGTATTCTGGCTGCTTTACATACATGGTATCTGCAACAACTCTGCCAGGTGCATGGGTCATCTTCCTCTATAGAGTAGGACATTGAGGTCAGAGAAAGAAAGTGACCCGCCAAGGTTGCAGGGCAAGGTGGTGGAGCTGTGGCTCACACCTAGGCCTTGAGTGGCCCAGGACCCCTGTGCTTCCCAGTATTACATTGGCTCTCAGGAGGAAAAAATGGTTTCAGCGACGGCTCATTTCTTTATTTTGGAGGAAAAGGAGGTCCATAGTACATTTTAGAAATATTGTATGCCAAAGAGTTTAAATTGAGATGTTGAGACATGAGAGGAAAATTAGCAGTTGGATAAAAGTTCATTCCTGGGCTGTCCAGTTTGCTCAGTTGGTTAGAGCATGGTGTTATAACACCAAGGTCAGGGGTTTGAATCCCTGCACTGTCCAGCTGCCAAAAAACTAATAGAAGTTCATTCCTGATGGTCAGTATTCCCAGGTAAATGAGGCATTACTGGGCTTTCAAAGAGGCCCCTGCAAATGGGCACAGTCCTGGACTTGGTGGGTATGAAGTTCTGCTTGGGGGGCAGCTGTACCCTTGCCTGTCCCTCTGCAGTCAGGCTGTGAGGACATACAGGGCCCGGCAGCAGCCCAGCACTGCTCAAAGGCAGCAGATGCCAGCATGGGAGGGACTTGCCAGGAAAGTTTCTGAAACCTCTGGCTCAGCCAAAAGCCAGGCACTCACTATGGATGGAAGACTGCAGGAGCCCTAAGTGGACCTGAACCAGGGACTGGGTCGCACACCAGCGAAGGCTCTGCTGGGTGCCTGAACTGCCTTCTGGAGAAGTTAGTGGTGGAGGAAGGAGGAGGCAGAGCTCACCTGCCAGTCTTTGCTGTCTGTTAGGGGGAGTTAGTAGAGATAATGTACTTTGTATTTTTAAAAAAAGTTTTAATTCTCCTTCAATGCTAGTCACCAGTGTAAATTCCCAGGCCCTCCCAGATCATCTGAGTTAAAAAGTTTTAATTCTCCTTCAATGCTAGTCACCAGTGTAAATTCCCAGGCCCTCCCAGATCATCTGAGTCAGAATCTCAGGGGAAGGGGCATGGGGATGTGCATTCTGAGCTGGTGTTCCTGGAGCAGAACAACTGCCAACCTTCAAGGCACACTGATTGAGCTACTGCAGTGAAGTCTTTTACATGTTATCTCATTTAGGTTCCACAACAACTCTAAGAAGCTTTAGTGAGCAAACGGAGGCCTGGAGAGATTAAATCACTTGCCAAGCACAAGCGCGTATTCAAAACTCTAGAACCCTGTCCCACCGCAAGACTGGTCCTCTCCCAGGAACACCTTCCTGTCCTCCGTGGCACTGTGTGCCCTGCTCATTATCTAAGTGCATGTTCAGGGACAGAGGTGATGACCTGTACTGGAGTCCCTGGCCTGTGCCTTCTGTCCCCTCCTAGATCATGAGCCCATGGGGGCTCAGGATATGTGCAGTGGGTGAACAAATGCTGGGGACATAACCACTGAGGAAGAGGGACACAAGAATTTTCCCTGCTGGTGGCTTAGGAGGGTGCAGGGCTGGATGGGATAGATGGAAAAGGCTGGGGTGCCCTCCCCTGCCCAAATCTCTTCTACATGCCAGGCCCATCTCCATGAAATTCTTGATTCTGCCACATTTTCTGCACCCTGAGCTTCCTATAGAAAATCCTTTCCTCCGTCCCTATATTCACTGCCTCCACCCTTCACATAACTCCTCTTTATACTTTGGATACTCCGTGTCACCTTGTCCTTCAAGGAGCTTTCAGTAAGCCCCAAGGTTTTGATAGCTGCTTCCTTTGGACTCCCACAGTCCCCTGCTTTCCCCTCATTTTTTTTTTTTTTTTTTTTTTTGGCAGCTCGCCAGTACAGGGGTCTGAGCCCCCACCCCTCTTTTTTTCGAAGTTCCAG